AAAAATGTAGTTGAAAATGAGTTTTAAAAAAATATATACAATGGGAATCAAGCAAGGGATAAATGTTAACAACAATAGTGAAAATGGTGTAACCCGCAAGGTTCCAGTAACATATACACGTACACTCGACCAAAACAGACAATTGAGAGAGAGAGAGAGAGAGAGAGAGAGAGAGCATAGAGAGTATGGTATAAAGAGGGAGTATAGAGAGTAGATAGAGATATTGACAGTGAGAAGGTGGGGTGTAATTTAATTTATATAATTATTAATATTAAAATATGGAATTTCCATCTAGTTTTTGGATAAACAAACTTTCAACCTGTTTGGCTTGCGATTTTTTGTGCAGTCATAATTCTTTTGTTTGTTTTTTATTTAGATGTACCTTCGTAGATAATGTCGACAATTATCGACTGTGCATCAATCTCCATCGCTAATGAAGAAATTTTGGCCTCACTAATGAAAGATTAGTCGAAATTACATTTGCACAGTTGTGTCCATGTGATCCTGCGATTTTTTCCCTCAAACCGAACCAAACCGTTTCAAAAATGACTTTGTTTAGGTTTCGATTTTCTAAAACTGCACAGAATCGAACCGAACCGAATCGCTTATCTTTTTTTCAATAGAGTGGGTGATAACTATGATAGATGAGTACACTTTCCATAGAATACTATAACAAGGCTATTTTGAATTTTTAAATTTCTTGTACTCGCTAACTTCCTATGCAATTCCAAATGCAGCAATCGACAAAACTGCATCACTAAACAACCAAGCATGCATTTTAAACATTGTTATTATTTATTATCGAATAACTTCTTGAATAATGAATAATATTTTGTATATGTGAATGCAGAAATCCTTAATTTCTTAGGGAAGTACAATGAATATCCAGCTCTCTCAACTATCTTCCCATAACCTTCTCAACCTCTTGCCCTCAGGAAAATGAAAGCCTCAAGCCTTTATCGATCCAACCAACTTTCCATTCACGTTGTACCTGAATATAGACTACTTGTTTAGGTGGATTGTATCTATAAATTGCAATCAATGTGAGAATTAAGAATTTAAGAAACAGAGCTTTAACCAAAAGTAACATTAAAAAATTATCTAAATCAA